TATATATATATATATGAAGGATTCGTTTACTCCATAAATAAGTATACCTATACTTATTTCATTCAATAACTCGTGTTTTACATCAAATTTCAATGATCTAACCGTTGAAATTAAAGTTCTTATTGCATAGATCAAATCTACAATTTTTTTTTTAAAATTGAAAATTATTTGATATTTCTTTTCATTAGTTAAATTCAATGTATATCATGCTTGACGCCTCGAAGTTGTGTCCGATGTGATAATGAATTTTATACTTCATAGATTCACAAATTGGTTCACCCACACTTAAAACTTAGGAAAATCTAACATGCAACACCAAAAATCACATATACACTTCATAAATACTCAAATTCCAACAAGAACAACAACATGCAACAATTATATGATCAAGACATCAATTTTGTCCCCAACAAGGTCAAAAACAACAAAAAATGCACACATGATAATTTCATCTCCTTATCATCAACACAACCATGAATTGGGTGAAATTCAAGCAACATACAACTCTAAAGATCATAAAAAAATAATGTTTTAGCTTCCCTCACCTCCGAATCAACTAGAAGAGAAGAAAATAGAAAAGGGAGACCCCTCCGAGCCCACCACCACTCGATTCTCATCTCTAATACTCTTCAACATCCTCTGAGATGCTCAATTACAATCAAAGAAGTTTCTCTACACTCTCAGAAGACTAAGAAGAAGAAAGACAAATTTCAAATTCTAAAGTTTCTCTCTCTAACTTCTCTATAAATTTTTTAAGAATAAACTTATAAAATTCAAATTTAAGAAAAAAACCTTATATACTTTTCTAAAACTGGTCAACTTGACATCTGTTCAAAATAACTCATAAATGCCTAAAACTCATTAGAATTCATAAATTCTTAAAGTTCTCAATAATTAAACAATTAAATCACAACAACATAGGATTAAATAAAATAACAATATCTCACAAAATGCACGGTGTTACATTAAACAAATTTTAAAAATGGTGTATAGTGATTTAAAATGAAGCAAAATCTTAACACATTTTATTTTATTAAATAAACTCATCTTAAAATTTTATTTATTTAATTCATATTTATTTTCAATAACTCAATAGATTTTCGTGGTATCAATGACAACTTTCGGAATGGAGAAAAAATGTTCCCATAAAATTAAAGTGTTCCACTAACCAGCGTAAAGAGTAATTTAAGAAATAACGTTTTTTTTAAATGAAATCAAATAAAAATTAGCTAACATTCTTAATTCACATTCTTAATTATTTTAATTATATTTGAACTAGAAAATATCGACGACTCCATGACAACATTTTTCCATCAACTACTGAAATCAGGAGTAATTTTCTTCCATAAAGATCGACTGTCGACACTTAAAAAAAACGGAAGAAGTATCAACCAAATATTGTAAAGGAGGGTTAATGTTGCTAAAATTCATATATAATACTGAAAATTTACTCCATTGATTATTTATCTAAGAAAAAATTGCAAAAAATAATATTTATTTTTTTGACCAAAAAAAATGTTTATTAAAAATTCAAAACACGGGCAATATGATTTTTGTAATGCTGAAATGTGAATCATTTTGAAATGCTTTCTCTACAACATACTACATTAAAATTTTGTTAAAAAAGTTACGAGAATAAATGATTGCAGAAACCATAAACACAGGCACGAAACCGAAAAGGGTTTGGGATTTCCACCACGGCCATGCCACTGTCGTGAGGCTGCTCCCGAGAGCATACGCGTGACGCGTCACGAGGCTTTCGAAAGGGACGAGGACATTTTCGCCATTTCCCACCCACGCCCCTGACGTAACGTGGTTCCGCGGGCCGAGATCACGAAGCAAAACCCGGTTCAAACCCCAAACCTCGACACGCAACAAGGCACTTCGCCATGACGCTTCTCGCGTTTCGCCACGTAGGATCGCACGTGGCAGTTCCGTCCCAAGTCATCGCATTTTTGTCTTCCTTCCCTTTATATAAGTCTACGCTCTCTCATCTGCTCTTTATCCTCTTCTCTCGCCGTCTCATTCACGAAACCCATTGCCTCACGCAACCAAACACGTCCCTCGCTTCAACCTACCCGCGTCGCCGGCAAAATGAAGGCTCCGGCGGTGGCTTCTGGCCTCGGGATCCGATTGACGTTGTCGTGCCGCTGCTTCTTTGGGAACTGGAACCGTATCTGCTAGTACAAAATACAAACCCTAAGCAAAAGCGACTTTACTTAGCATAGTTTTCAAGTTATTCCATGCTTCATCTCGCTAGTCCCAGGCAGATTGTGACTATAAAATAATTCAAGAGACTTGCTCTGATTTCAGCGTCTACAGTTTTGGCAGAACTTTATTTATTTATTTCTTTCTCTTTTTTCTTTTTTTTTTTTAACTTTATTTCTTCGTCCTCAAAATTTTAAAAACGAGGGAGGAGAATCGAGAAAGGTGATTGTGCAGAGTTCAGAGGTTTAATTACTTTACACAGTTCTGTTCTGTCTTCTCTTCTGAGTTTTCTGACTTGGATTAAAAATTAAGCTCAAGGATCGGTAGTGGAAAAGACGAACCAGTGATACTGAGAGCGTGAGATTCCGTTCTGAGCCATCATCCACGATGCCTTTTCCGATGAAAATTCAGCCTATCGATTCTCAGGTACCGTCCGAGGGGGTTCGGCTTGAGCTGGCAAAGCCGGTTGTTAAGTCGCGGCTGAAGCGGCTCCTCGAGCGGCAATTCTCCGGCGTTCTGAGAAATTCGGCGCCGGAGAAGCTCTCCGGTGGCGAGGAACAGCATTTTTACAAGGATGGCGTTGGCGTCCACGGTTCCGGCGAATTCGAACCGAGCTCGGCGTGTCTGGCGAGAATGGTGCAGAGTTTCATCGAGGAGAGTCACGAGAAGAACTCCGCTTCGCACCGCAACCGCTGTAACTGCTTCAATAGGAGCTACGACGATAGCTCTGACGAAGACTCAAACTCGCTCAGCGACTCCAATTATTCCTCCGGCGAGGCGTGTGAAGCTCTCAAGGTAAACGCTGGTTCGAGCGTCTTCCGTAATTTGAAATTAGAAATTCAGAAATGGTTCTGAACGCTTTTTTTTCCTTTCCGCTTTGGACAGGGCCTGGTAGCGTGTGCGAGCGTGCGGGAGAGGAATTTGCTCGCGGACACTGCGAAGATCGTTGAAAGGAACAAGATCTGCAAGCGCAAGGACAATTTCTGCAGAAAGCTTATCACGGAAGGATTATTATCCCTTGGATACGATGCTTCGATTTGCAAATCTCGCTGGGAGAAATCCCCCTCTTGTCCCGCTGGTACTTTCTATTTCTAATTGTGGAATCGGTGATTTAGAATTAGAGGTTAATTGGCGTAATTTTTTGTTGTGTTTAGGGTTTTCAATTAGTATACATGATTCTGTGCAGGGGAATATGAATACATAGATGTAAGGACGGGGAAAGAGAGGTTTCTAATTGACATTGACTTTAGGTCAGAATTCGAGATTGCTCGGTCTACCAAAGCTTACAAAACGATTCTCCAGAACCTTCCGTACATATTCGTTGGCACGTGCGAGCGATTGCAGAGCATCGTAGCCATAGTCTCGGAGGCAGCGAAGCAGAGTCTGAAGAAGAAGGGAATGCATGTTCCGCCGTGGAGGAGAGCGGAATATGTGAAAGCCAAGTGGCTCTCTCCGTACACGCGAACTACTACTGCGCTCATGAAAGAGGAGAAGAAGGAAGAAGAACTAACTCTTTCCAAGGAAAACTGTGTCGCCGCCGAGTCAGCGAGTTCCGGTGAAGACAACAAGGCGGTGATAGAATGGAAGCCGCCGGAGCTGAAGCCCAAGGCTTCGCTGCCTGGCGTTAAGGTCGTGACTGGTTTGACAGTGGTGTTTCATGATGACGATAACCCATAGAATTTTGACTTTTTTTCGCCTTTTTTTTATTATTTTAATTTGCTAATGTGAGGGTTAAAACTTAAAAATCTGTTAACTGTAACAGTTTGTGACTTCTATAGCTCTATCCCCTTCTGTTTTTTTCTTACATACGGGATGGATTTTACTAATATCAATTAATAAAATTCATATATAGTAGTCATACGGTGAATTGTTCTATGCTTGGTTCAAATTGTCTATTATTGAATTTAATTAAATTTCTTGGTTTGGAGACAAGTTGTTTGATTCTGTTTGGCTTCTTTCCTTCAAGAGGAAAAAATGTTAGTTGATGCAGAAATTTCTTGATGCAGTTTTAAGATTCCTTGGTTTAGGAAGAAAGAGAGAGAATTATATGTTACCATGGTTTACGCAATATAATCTTGTGGATCATTCGGCATTTCAGCTATCTATCCACTTGGGTTTTTCTTTGTTCCGTTGTTCTCTGCCGTATGCCACCCTTGTTTGGTTCACCAAATATTATATTGGCCGCCAAAAGTATAAAGTATTGCTTATAATATTAACTGACCGTCAATTTTTGAGGCGCATCATTCTTCACCATAATTAAAATGCATGCATGAAATTATTTAAACATCAACAGATGTTGCACACGTTCGCTTTTTCAGGATTAAAAAAAAGAACAATTTTATACGTTACAAGTGCAACAACCATTTTCCATGTTTCAAATTTCGTCATTAGTATGCTTAGACGTTCTTAAAAACCAATTTCACAGATAGGAAACAGTGATTTCAAAAGTCTATTCTTTTCTTCTTTATGGAACACTATATCTTTTTTAATTATGTTATTTGTACAAGATTTTTCTTTTGTATAATATCAATATTTTTTTTATCACATTAATTATCTTCTATTTTTTATATATTGTAAAATACTTTCTCTTTCTTTAGGCATGGAATCGTTATCATACCTTGTTTGTTGCATAGTAAATGATGTTAGTCTAAGGACTCCATTATTCTTTTTCGTGTGCCTTTTCTTTTCAGTTTTCTATCAGACTCTTTATTATTATATATATATAAACTTTATTTTGTCGCTTGTGCGCCTCGTACCGAATCGAGTGAATCCACGTAGCGTATTCCGAATCAATCGTACTCAGGTCTTTATAAATTTATTTAATTATTATTTAGTATTGCGTTTTTATTTGACTACAGATCTGTACAATTGCAGAGGATTCTACACTTTGTATTTTAGCCGCGTAATAATTAAATATACTTATAGTAATTAAATTCAGATCGAGCAGATAAACTTATCTTTTTCATAAAAAGAATGAAAAACTCTGTTTTTTTTTCTTCAAATATAGGTAGGTGTGCTAACTCTCTGACACATAAACTAATATACTATAATATTGACAATTCACAATTGACATTGGGTAGTCTCGCTCGTTATTATCATGTATCAATTTCACCTATTGGATTTTTTTTATTTCGTATTTTTTATTTATAATAAAAAAACATTTCGTCATTATTTATATATCTTGAAAGATGAAAGAAAAAATTGAAAGATAATTCTCAAATATAAAATTTTAAAATTGATTATTTATGAGATCCGATAACAACCCATTAGTGAGTAAACTAATAAGCCTAATAATAAAATAATAAAATAGGTAGTGTGATTAAAAAGTAAAAATTAAAAATAAAAATTATTTTAAAAAATGTATGGATATTGTTGTTATATAATTTTTTAAATGAGTCATAAGTACAATTATAGGGTTTGTTGGAGGTGACTTCCCCTCTATTATTTTAAGAACCATTAATTCCTCTCGGAAAGTAACATCTTACCTACTCTCTTTAACCCATTTTGCTATATTTTTTTCCCATGTAGTACTAGATAATAGTAATAATAATTTATTTATATGTAGAGGTACTTTTCGTTTGACACCATACATGGAGATACTTAAATTTTTTCAAATAAATTCATATGTTTAAGTAAATAGTAATAGTTATGTTAAATTATTCAATAATATAGATTTTTCTAATTTATATTTGACATAATTTAACACATGATCTTAATTTCATTAACTATTTGGCAGGTGTCGTATATATAAATCTTGTCACATGATAATTCTACTTGCTACGCATGATAAATATTTAATGAAATTCTAATACATTAGCTGTAAGATTTTTTTCCTTTGAGGTCTGCGTAACTGTTAAGATTAATTCCTTAATTTAGGAATGTTGATTAACTAAATTAATTCTTGGTTGAATTAAATAGCTTATAGATGATGGAATTCAGATTGACTAGTTTTTTAGCCCAAAAAATAAATTTGCCACTTTTATTTTTTCCACAAGGTTTTACAAAATTATATTATTTAACTTCCATCTCACAGTAAGTGCTAAGACATTTATCACTTAGAAATAAATCATTTCAACTAAAAAAAACTCCTGTAAAAGGTAATATATGCAATAAAAACATTAACTTGCAGTGAATGCAAGTCGTTAGAGATGGCTAATTAGTATTGAGAAAATATAATGTTTTAAGAGAATATGTTCTTCATTTGTTTTTTAAATCATAGTATAGGTTTTTTTTTTTGTTTTTTTTAGAATTAAATTTGACAATAAAAATTTATAATAATTCATGCTCATTTTAATTGAATTAGACTCTAATTCAGAAGTCTTTCTCTTATTAACAACAACTTAAAATTTTCAGTTTTTTCAACAAGTTTATTAATTCGGCTAGTTTATTAATTCGGCTTAATGTATACTAACAATTCGAATCTCATAATTATCTCTCAATGTTATTATCGAGAAAAGTTAATATTTGTTTGCTCAGAACATCAAGGCTTAAGCTACACCACAACTTAGGGGGTGGAAAGTTACTTTAAAGTATAATCTCCTAATATCAAGTTTGTTTATTTGCATTGAGATTTGAGAAGCCGAAGGCAGAGTTAGAAAGACGAGCCAAAAGGAATAACGTGCAATACAATCAATTGGCACCATTAATTTTGAAAAAATATATCTTTAATATTTAAAAAATTATTTTTATCAATTTAATTATTAAATTGTGAAATATTATCTCAAAATATATATATATATATATATATATATATGTATATATTTTAAAATAAGTTTAATTTTATATCAGTTTAAAATATTTTATACTACTGTCTATTAAGAAATTAGTTATAGAAATTCACAAATTTGGGTACTTGTCAATTTGTAACTGAATCATAATGCAATTTTTTTATATTGTTAATATGGATTGTATTTTATAAAATATTTGAAACATTTGTATATAGCATAAAATGAAATAAAAAAGTTTATAGCTATTAATTTTTTATCATATAAAGTTTAAAAGCTTAATTTATTTTGCGAGAACTTTCCATATACGTATTAAATCGATGAAATGTAATATATGTAAGAGAGATGTTAAATATGAAAGTTTTTAAATCTCAATACTTAATATCAATTAATCTTATTTTTATATGATGAAAATATACTTACGTTGATGACTCCTCATTTTTAATCAACTTTATTAATTTTCTGTAATGGAAGTTTCTATGAATAACCAATTTAATTCACAATTTCTTTTCTTTCATAACTCATATTTCTCTCTTAGATACACACAAATTTTAAATGACTCATACAAAATAGATATTCTTATAAATATAATTTTCTCTAATTTTAAGTGATACAAAATCGTATATAACAAATCAAAATAATACTTTATTTTGTTAAGAAATTCATAATATTTTTGTTAATCCAACGTTAAATTAGAAAATTTTCTTATTTTTTTTATATGATTTAAAATTAATCAAATTTTTCTTTTATTAAATTTAGTGAATATGTATTGCATTTTTAAAAACATAAATATCAATTATAAAGTGTCTTATTTAAGTGAGGTCAATATGTCTTATAAAATGTAAAAATTGTTTATATTAAGTGAAGCCATTGGGAGTTGACACAAGTGTTAAATGATATGGAACTACATTGATATGAGTTCAATACATCATGTTTTGTAGACAATCTTTCTCATGAATACCTTTTGACACTTATGTTAGTTGAGTAGTTGCACTTAACTAAAATAATTTTGTAGTTTATGCTTATATAATAACCGTGTAGAAAGGTTCTTACCAACAATTCACATCTTTAATAGTAGTATCATTGTTGAAAAAAAGACATTTTACATTGTTCTTTGTATGCCAGTTGTAAATTAAAACAATTTTCTTACATTAATTTTAAAATAACGGTGCAAAATGCTGAATTTTTTTCTGAAATAATATTTTTTTTAAAAAAAATTACAAGAATGATCACTGTGCAGGATTATTTACCAAGATAGAACCATTTACTGTTCAAGCTCAGAATTCGGTTCCCCGGGAACCGAATTCTGAGCATCAAAATGTAATTTTTTTTGTTTTTTCAACTCAGAATTCGGTTCCCGGGGAACCGAATTCTGAGTTGGTTTTAAATTTTTTTTTTTTCGTGTATGGGGCAAATGTGGGCTGATCTGGGAAGCGGAACGGCCCGTTCCAAAAGCAGAACGGGCCGTTCTGCTTAACAAAATAGAGTGCAAATTCTGAATGTGAAACGGCCCGTTCTGCTTAAAGAATTTGCACTCTGTTTCTTTAAGCAGAACGGCCCGTTCTGCTTTTGGAACGGGCCGTTCCGCTTCCCAGATCAGCCCACGTTTGCCCCATACACGAAAAAAAAAATATTTAAAACCAACTCAGAATTCGGTTCCCCGGGAACCGAATTCTGAGTTGAAAAAACAAAAAAAATTACATTTTGATGCTCAGAATTCGGTTCCCGAACAGTAAATGGTTCTATCTTGGTAAATAATCCTGCACAGTGATCATTCTTGTAATTTTTTTTTAAAAAAATATTATTCCAGTAAAAAATTCGCAAAATGCTCCTTTATATATATATATTTGTTATAATTTGAACCAATGCATCAAGTGTTTTAAAATTTGAACGTTTTTTGTATTTTCTTTTTGTTCTCTCATGTTGTTTGGATGAGCGTGAGGGTGCACTACGCGAAAAAGGAGGTTGGGAGGGGAGAAGATTGAGTGCATCTGCGGTTGGTATAACTTGCATTGTGTTTTTAAAATATTTTTCACACGTCTACATCGGTTAAAATCTAGTCTGTGTAAAAAGTGGCTTCTACTTTATATCGATGACATCTACGTTGTCTTACATCTCACGTAGAATGTTCATTTTAACAAATGTAAAATCTCCTATTTGCACTCATGTATTAGGAGTGCTCATTGTTCTAATTCTTTTAGTA